ACTTGCTTTGATGTCATCAATCCGTGCTTGGTATTATTTGAGTCAAGCATCACTATTTCAAAATGGGATCAGTAGTTACAGTTCTACTGAGATTAGGATCATTGTGTCAAAGAAGTATGCTGTTTGTATCCAATGCAGCTATCCTAGTTGGCCCTCATTGTCCTTAATATAAGGTTTTGCAACCAACAGCAAGACGAAGACCTGCTGCTCTTCCAATAGATTGTAGTCGTGATCATAAGTGTCTGTATCCTTGATCATATTAAGTAAGCGAAATCGTAATCTATTTACTTAGTTCTTCGTGATCATAAGTATCTATGTGTTACATTACAGCTAGCTGGATTGGAGGTGATCTCTCTGGCGCCGTCTGAGAATCTTGGGGGTGCTAGCACCGCGACCACTCCTGTTGGGGATGATCGTCCTCGCCCCCTAATGTCAACCGCCCTCGCTACGTCGAGCAATATAGTGCGGACCCGAGGCACCAGCTCGACAAGCAATGGGGGCACTGCGAATTCGGTGGCTCCAGACACAGACCGCGCGAAACGGCCAAAAGCGTTGGCAACGCTCCTTGACAATCCTAATACAGCTCTGCAGGTTCCTCGCAGCCACAACTTGAATGCAAAAGGCGGAGGCCTCAAGATTGCCACAGGCGCGGACGCCCTGCTAGTGGACGGCGGAACCCACAGTCCGAAGAAGAATGCCAACGCCGGTTCAGCAGATGAAAGTCAGGCGACGACTGGCACATCTTCTACATCAGGTCGTGACCCAAATTCTTATAGCAAAGAGGACACGGCGACTGCTGCTGCAAAAAAACGGAGCATCAACGGTGCTGGTGGCGATATGAAGGGGCAAATATACGGTGATCAGATGGAAACTGGCACTAGCGGTCACGGACAGATGAAAACTGGAGGTAGTACCGCAGACCACAACGTTAAACAAGAAAGTTTGCGAGTTCGATTCAGGCGTAAACGTCGCAGCTGTCTTCTATGGCTATTACAGGAAGATCCCGTGTCAGAAGACATGCACCGCACGGTTTCACGTGTCAAAGTTCCCCAGTCGAAACGCGGAAACAATAAAGACCACGGCAATTATATTTATAATATGACAAGAACAAATGGAAACGTTGATAGCCAGACGAATATGAACGGTGCTGCCGCGGGCGGAGGTATAAATTCCTATATTTGTGGCGGAGGAGGAGGTGCTTCTACCATGATGTTGCCGAACGGTAGAACAGTCGGTCATCTGGGTGCTCCTGGTGGAAACAATAGTTCGCCGGGAGGAGCGGCTTTGATTATCCCGACGGGGACTTCTAGCTCGTCACCTGTAGTGGGTCAATTCGCGCAATTCAGTCGAAAGTTTTCAGAGGTGACCAATATGAGTTCGTCGGAGCGAACGCCAAGTGGTAGTGTGTCGCGGACCATCTTGGCCTGGAACCGTGACGAGGAAAACCAGTTGGAAGGAACTGCACCTGTCGTAAGCTTTGAGCCGGTATCTATCGAAGTAGGCGGCGACGGGCTGGAAGGGGGACAGCTGCCACGGCGAGAAGGCAGTGGAGCAGGTATGAACAGTCCTACTGAAGGCTCCTTATCCCTATCCTCGGCAAGGAAGATGGGTTCGGCGAACTTCGATCCTCTCAATATCAACACCAATTGTAATATGGGACAAAATTCTCATCCTGGTGGAGGTGGTGGTGCTGTTGGGAAATTTAAGAATTCGGGTACTAGTGCCGGAGATGGAGATCTCAGGTTCCTCAACGTCGGAGGCCAGATGAACAATACAACCTCATTCGTTAGTGGCCAGTACAACAGCAACGAAGTAGTAGTTAATGTAACCGGAAGCGCCTACTCTGTCCCAGCGTCCCCGAGCTCGAAAAAGTCACCCTTTGCTCTTTCGAAGTCGCCTGGTTTACTCGTTCTAGCAGGTTTTGAAGATGGAGAGGAGGCTTCCAATAATCCTCCACGCCGCAGCACCTCAAGAGACTCACGAGGAGGTTAAGAGGTTCTCTATATGATACAGAGAATAAGTTGTACCAGTACGCATGTTCATTTTTAGGTTTACAAGCATATTTAACCATGTAAGATCGCAATCGCAAGAAAAACCATGTTGTAAGAATTAGACTGTTCCCAATTTCGGTTTGATGTAATAACCATGAATGATGTCGATTTTAATTTTATGTGATTGCACAAGCTGTGCCGATACCATCTGACATTGTTGCTGTTCTGAAAGACTTTTGCAAAATTGCCTGGTTCCTACTGTCTTTCTCTACTCTATTTGGTGTTTTTGTTTAGTTCATGGGGTAGTGGTAGATTTATTCGGAATTAACTCTCACTTGATCTATTTCGTAAGATCCTACAATTACAAACTAAAGATCTTGTAGGGCAAGGAATACTAAGTAACTTGTTTTGTTCAATAACGAACATAGCAGGTTAATAGTATGAACGGGTTAACGTCCGTGCCATCCCCGTACGTAGTCAGCTTGAGAAAAATGCAAAAAAAGTATAGAAGTAAGCGAAATAGAAAAAGAAGAAATGAGTTCTCCGTTGCCTCACAATTCTGATTGTGGTTGCCATGGAAGGAGAGCCTTGGCAACGTAGCTATGGAAGATCATCAGATCAGAATTTGAGTCAACTAGAAGAGGATCAGTTAGGCCTAGTAGTTTACAAGCTAGAAGAAAGAACAAGCCAAGGTCAAACTGGTCAGCATTTCTGGGCTAGAGCAAAACAAGAAGTCTAAGATCAGAAATAGCTCTAGTCTGTTGTTTGTTCAAGTTTTAAGATCCACTGAAACTTAGGTGGTTAACAAATGAAAATTGACAACAGGCGAACGCGACGATTGTGGGAGAAGTGTTCGCCGATAAGAGAGATCAAATCGAGAGATTAATGTGAATTATCGTGGCTGGTGTAGGTTTGGGATAATTTTCNTTAACTCTCACTTGATCTATTTCGTAAGATCCTACAATTACAAACTAAAGATCTTGTAGGGCAAGGAATACTAAGTAACTTGTTTTGTTCAATAATTGGTTAATTTTTCTCCCAACCCCCCCCCCCCTTTTTTTGACATAATGCCAGGAAGGTCTGCCAGGTTGCTGGCCTTCTTAGAAGACAGACAAAGTAGACCAGTAAGTGAGTTCGTCACATTTACCGACCAGCTAAAAGCAGCACAGTCTTGTAACCAGAAGAAGCCCAGCACAAGTTCAGAAGAAGTTAGCTGTAGAACAAAAGAAGCGGAGGCCAGAAGCCTGGCTGCCAGGGAAGAAGCGAAGAAGCAAGAAGTACGCCGATTATCACCAGAAGTTTTAAACAAATTTTGCAAAGGCCTTAAAACCGAGCATGGCATAACACATCACGCAGAAGAACCAGTGTGTTTACCTTTAGAAGTTGAAGATCAACAATTAGCAGAGTTGCATCCTCCTCCCCCCGTTAACGACGTTGTCGCTGAAGATCGATGCAGAGCAGCCTTCGCGGCCATTCAAGATGATGTAGTGGTGAAAATCGAGCGTCCAGATTTAAATTCTGACAAGAACAAGAAAAGGTGCTTCAATCGACAGCTAGACAACTCCAGTTCATCTTCATCCATAGTTCCGTTCGTTCCAGCAGCTCGTAGAGTAGGTCCAGGCGAGTTAGTAGATTGGACCACTACGCTTCAATTGATTAACGAAGAACTTCTTCAATTTCCGCAGCGTCGCCCATCGGATACTCCTGTAGTAGACGCCCAGGCTGACGAGTTTAAAAACTTCATCGAAAAACTAGATGCCGAAGTTAGCCTTTTTGACAAGCAGTCGAGATTGGCGGAGTCTTCACTTAGATCATACAGGTCGGCTTACAAGAAGTACATCGAAATGATGTTGAGCATCTCTTTTCATCCTCACCCGAAGTATATTAGTGTCAGGTCAGTGCAATTACTTGCGCAGGCCTTCCAGAAGTGCAAGCAATTCCAGAAATCGAAAGCGCAGTATATCGAGCAGTTCAAATGTTTTGCAGACCTGATCAAACCCATCGAACCGCCCACACGTCGGGCAGTGGTGCAAATACAAAGGATGTTTCTCCGCTCGCGACCCATACAATTCCAGCAGCAAGGCGTAAGGTTGAGTCACATCATGTGCATGGTTTTGCATTTGACTAATGCGCCACTGGCTACCATTGTGGTCGGAGACAAAAAAGTACAAGCAGTGTCCTTTCTTAGGTTCGCCATCTTCTGCTGGTTTTATATGATGCGCCTAGACGAAACTTCTACAACTACTAGAGAATTCACACGGACCAGCTGCAAAATAACAGTGGACTCTTCGAAAGACAATCAGTTTGGAACGAAGATTAAAACGACGGAGCTTCAATGCTGTTGCGATACCGCGCCAGCAATAGGAGCAGGCTTCATCAAGATCTGCCCGACTTGTTGCTGTTCTGAAAGGGAATTCGCATATTTTTCAAACGTCCCCTCAAGGTCGCTTCTAGTGCTAATGGAGAATCTTCTACATATGACTAATGTAGTCAATCCAGCCGCTGTTGGAGAACAAGAAAAGAAAGTGATGATGTTGCATGCGTTGAGAATCGGGGGCGCTAGATCAGCCGCTGACGGTGGCCTCGAAGATCACGACATCCAGACTGTCGGAAGATGGGCTACGTTGGATAGTCTACACAGGTATATGGGCAATGCAAGAGCAGCACCGGACTCGGTTGGTTTGCGCTGGCCATTGAAGAAACCTTTAATTTTCGGTCCACGAGTTACTAGTTGGGCTATTGGCCCTGTAGGCGATACATCTTCTTCAACAAGCGACTTGTCTTCGGCGTTGTCCACCCAGACCGGGAGTTCTGGCAGACCTTCCCCATATTAGAAACCAAGCTATATATATGTTAAATTGACTCTTCCTCATCGTTTCTTCCCCGCAGGTGTTTCTCAAGTTCCAAGGATAATTTTATGTGTTGCTAACATTTTATTTTCTGTGTCAAAAAGAGAGTTTCTACGAAGTATCACGTTATTTAATTTCTTGCCAAATACACTTAGAAAAAATGGAAGGACTTCAAGCCTTCGGCCCTGTGCAGGAAGATGGAGCTGCGCCAGTCATTTTCGCAGCAGAGCCCATTCCACAAAATGCGCTCAATGCCATGATCCAGATGAATGACAACATTGCTAGACAACAAGCAGTACACGAAAACGAAGGACTGGGCATCCCTACAGATGGCCAGGTTCAATTGGTCACGGAACGTTGCCAGATGTTGAGGCACAAGTGTACCCCAGCGCAGTACCTATTTTTATTGCGCCAGCTTCAAGCCTACAACTACGAGAAGCTATTGAAGCCGCCGGTCTCGCTCAATTTATTTCCTTTAGCGCTAGTAGCAGCTTTTCGATGCGCGCAAATCATCGATGATGTCGACGCCAACACATTGCAAGAGACAATGATGAAGGCGGTAACGGGCTCGTTCGATCCTAAAAGTACCGAAACAAAACTTTCTCTGGCTGCTGTTTATGATTTGTTTAACTCGTCGATGAAAGCAAATCTTGCTCACCCCGCACCAGTGGCCCCAGGGCCAAATGTGCAGCAGAGGCAACTACAGGCGACAATCGTAGGCAACGTCCTTCCAGACCTCATCTCAAACGTGGCGATTGAGAAGAGGCGAGCTGGCCTTGAAGCAGAACTAGCGAAAAAAATGAAGAATGAAGTAGCGCAGATGGTGCAGCACCAAGTGGCAGCCAAGACAAAGCAGCTCGAAGCTGAGATTCGGAATCTCAAAATGGCAAACAGAGGATCCCATAGAGGAGGTAAATCAAGGTCTAGATCGAGGGGCAGAGCCGACGGAGAGGAGAAGCATAAAGGTCGCTACAAACAGCCAGGAGAACTAGTGTGCCTCAAGTGGATGAAGGGACAGTGCAAGGGGAAAAATTGCCCAGAGGGACGGCAGCACTTTGGAGACTTGAAAAGACTGGAATTCGTGAATAAGGATATATTAAAAGGAGCTTTATCAAGTGAAGAAGTCAAAAAGTTAGCAAATCAATGACAAAATCAAATATTAAGCGTGAAGGAACTTGTAAAAAAGAACAAATAAAAAAAAAAAGATGATGAAATCCAGAAACTATAAAAGAAAGTGCACATAGATCTTCCCCCTCCCCCCCCCCTTTTTTCATCTATCAGATTCATATCCCTTGACAAGTGCCAAACCATGCAAACCAGATCATAAGAATTTCAAAATCTGTCTCCTTATCCTAGATCCAATAAGTCCAAACCAGATGATTTCAAGCCACGAAGCTCACCCAACCCTTGAGGCGGTGTATTATCGTTTCCCACCAGAGCTTTGAACTCGAAATCTTGCAATTTTTGAAAAGTTTTTGACCCCCAAAATCCCAAAACATGCGACGCAAGTGCAAAACAGGCGCCATCAAGCTGCGTAAAACAAATGTTCAAAGAAGAAATCAAAGTATAAGCCCATAAGAATCAGCTGACACAAGAAGCATAAGCACAAATCAGAAGAAACAAAAGCCTCAAATCAAAAGCAGAACAGGAAGCCGTCGGCTTTTATAATAACATAAGAAAAGTTTTACTGTAAGTGCTATGCACATTCTTTCAAAGTCATGCAGCTAGTTGAAGTAGACATTTCTAAAGTCCGTTTCTCTCAAAATAATATTTCGAAATATTTCATTGCTGGCCCTCGAGCTGGCCAATCAATTTTTACCGCTTTCAACCACATTAATAAGCGTCGGGAACTACGTAACGAAGAAATAGACATAACGGGCTACTTCGTAGGAGACCAACTATTTGTTGCTAACAACAGAACAGTCGCCGCCCTCCGTAGCCTTCAGTTGCGGAGAGGCTGGAAGAAGCTCACCATCAGTGTGAAAATTACGGAATTTAAGGGCCACAAGTGGAGGCATACCACTACTAACGAAGGTAAAACGATCCAGATTCGGGATAAATAGGCAAAATGCAGTACAATATGCTGCTATTAGCCTTCCCCGAATGGGAGAAGATTGAAGACGCATTTCGCGAAGAAGAGCGAAAAATAGTCCAAGGACATGATTATGAGGAGCCTCTTTACTATCGGCCTCGTAATGAAGACGGATCTTGGCAATACGATTTCGAAGACGTTACCGCCAGTTTCGTCCAAAAGCAAGATCAGATTTGGAAGGAGATCCGTCAGCTTCGATATGGAGAGCTACGCCAAAAATATGCTGCTGACCTCCTCCACATCAAACGAAGCAAATACCTCGAACAAAAGGCAGTCGAAGCCGAAAGTAAGAAAGCCGAAGATAAACATGAAATCCCCACTAGTTCCCCCTCCCCCCCCATCAGCACTTCATCTTCTTTAACGATTTCGGCCTCAGCGGCACAAGGAAAGAGACCAGACTATTCGCTCTTCTGCGGCGAAGAATCCAGAGCTCTCAAGAAGTGCAGGTTTGGAGCATCAACAACTACAGTTCAAGAAGAGCTTCCGCCCGCCTTCAGAACCGAGTGCGGAGGAACAACCATCAACTACCAACTTTTCTCTACTCCCACATCAGTACAAGTCGACAAGACAGCAGAAAGAACGAAACAAAAAATTCCTCTTTTGTCTACAAGTGTTGGTAGTGCCAGTTCTTCTCACCATCACCCTAATCCCTCAGGGACCACAGCTGAAAGTAACTTCTTCAATCCTATACTCCAACAAGACGCAGCCCGAGACTATGGATCAGGGCCCAACATTCCGCGCTATTTTGACGCCACCGTCACAAAAACGAAGACCAGCACAGAAGAAGAAATCAATCAGCAAGCAACACGTCTTGCATCTTGGTTGATCGCAACTGAAGCACAATCTAGGTTGGAAAACAAGGAGATTTTTGGAAAAATGCAGCCTCATCTTCAAATCACTTATGCGGGAAAGAATTTCGCTTTCTCACATAAGCTGCTGAAATCAGCGGTCGAAATAGCTAGCACCTCCGACAGAGGCATTAGCGATAACGCAGACACAATCTTAAAATGGAAAGATAAGCTAGTTGCCGGCATAACCATGGAAGGCGAAGTCGAGCCATCAGGTTTTTGGCGTCTTCTGCCAGAAGACAAGATCGAGGCACAAAGAGCGCTGGCAGCTGAAGCGGCCAGTCGGGAAAAACTGCCACCTGAAGATGACCACTGGGCTGATGAAGAGGATATTGTTAAGCTGTGGGAGCAAAAAGAAAAAATGCAGAAGAAAGGTTTGTGGCTACCAATGGCTAGTAGTGCGCTTACACACCTTGGAGGAGCCAAGCCTTTCCCAGTGCACCAGCCCACACTGGAAAATCCAAATAAAATGCGGTGCTGCGTAGACCTGAGAGGCCAGAATCGAATGCAAGTAGTCAAAGAAAAAATGCGCCTGTTGGGAGCACGAGCTGCAATTGAATTGACAGCCGCTTGCGTGTCCACATCGACGAACTGGAAGAAGCGCCCTCTCATGCTGCAGACCAAACATGACGTGAAGGAAGACGTAGAGATTGAGAAGAGGCTTCGCAGCCGTCTGGAAAAAAAACCAATCTCAACTACAAGATGAATTCCAGACGTTCAACAGGGAACAGTTCACGCCCCCTGAAGAAAAGCCAGATTTACGATACTCATTTACGCCGGTGATGGGAAAAATTGATATGGAAGGTTACTACTTCCAACATGGCACTAGGTCCCCTTCTGCAAATTGCATGTTTTACCCGGTACCACATAGCATCCTAGATTCCGAGTTGCGGTCTGACACTGTCCACCTTGCTTCCAGACCCGACAAGGACGGCAAGCGACGCAGATGGCAGCTTATAGCCTCGTCAGTTTGTCTGTTTGGAGCACTGTCAAGCGTACACGAGTGCGTGCTCACGAGCGAAGTGCATCAGCTAATTATCGTAGTTCTCTTGGAGGTGATTTGTACGATCTATATCGACGATTTGCATCCGCAAATGCGGTCAGCCTGCGCTGAAAAACAACTCGAGCTCATCAAGCTATATTTACATCTGGCAGGTTGGTGGAGGTCCCCCTTCAAGGACGATAGACATCACCGCTTCCAGAAGTCGATTACCGTTTTGGGACTCGCATACACGATTATCGACACCGAGAATAAATGTTTGGGCATGACAGTCGTAGTTAACAAGGAGAAAGTCCACAAGTGCGTAGCAGACGGTTTCAAACTGCTCGAGCAAATCAAGGGAGGCAAGATCGAATTTGACCTGTTGGTTTCGTTCCGTGGCCTTTTTCGCCATTGTGCTATGCTGGACCGTTGTAAGCTGTTCATCGCAAAAGGCTTAGACCACTTCGTAGCAGAATTTGAGACGGCCAAGAAGATCATCGTGGAACGACATCGAGCAGCGCACACCGTAGCTTTAATGCTTTGGGCTCTCGCTCGGATTCGTCCCTTTTGGATGAGCCAGCTGAGGGTAGATAAAGATGTCGCCCACTCTTACTCCGACGCTGCGCTAGAGGACGTAGTGGGGCTTAACGAGAAGTTGAAACGCGGACAGTTTGAAAATCTGGAGGCTCATCAAATGGCGATCGGTGGATACATCTCAACTCCGAAAGGCGCGCGCTTTTTTCGCATCGAGATCAACAAGCTACCTCGGCATTTAGTCGGCACCTATATCCATATTGGAGTGCTAGAAGCCTTGGCGGTAAACGTCTCTATCTACTTATGGGCACACATAATGGCCAATTACTTCATGATCGGCCACGTGGACAACCTCGGAGATGTCTTCGCCTTAGCAGCCAACAGCACGCGATGCGCTAGAACGCAGCAAATTTCTTCCTCGATTCACGAGAAAATGCAAGACCACGCTCTAGATTTCTACTTCACTTGGATTTGCAGCGACAGAAACTGCAGCGACCCCTTAACGAGAAAGAAAAGGTTCGAAATTTTCAAGTCATTCTTCGCCGACGCCGTTGAGGACTTTCTATCGCCTCAAGTGATCGAAGATAGCGCTCACCTTTGGGGTCGTGAACTAACTATATCCGCCCATAACTCGGGCCCAAGCCAACAATAAATTGTGGTTTTATTATCCCCCTTTGCATACAACTTATATCATTCTCTAAGATTCAAGTAGAAAGAAATAATATTGTTAACCTCCTCGGCATGTCCGAAAACACGAACTTGATACGGAAGGGCATCCCCCTCAAAACCAAACAGAAAGTGCTCGGATCAGTTAGGCCTAGTAGTTTACAAGCTAGAAGAAAGAACAAGCCAAGGTCAAACTGGTCAGCATTTATGGGCTAGAGCAAAACAAGAAGTCTAAGATCAGAAATAGCTCTAGTCTGTTGTTTGTTCAAGTTTTAAGATCCACTGAAACTTAGGTGGTTAACAAATGAAAATTGACAACAGGCGAACGCGACGATTGTGGGAGAAGTGTTCGCCGATAAGAGAGATCAAATCGAGAGATTAATGTGAATTATCGTGGCTGGTGTAGGTTTGGGATAATTTTCGAATGGATTTCTCAGCCAAGCTTTTCTGAAATTATGTGATATTACATGTACTCTGCTCCTCGGCTCCACCAAGTCCTCGGGACACCCACAACACGACGTCACTGTATCCCAGTGCGCACTCCCTCTACCACGGGAAAATTTTATGGCCTAAGATTATGAACATTTACGTACGATTTCGAATTGAACTGGGAATTGCAGTAGACGTGTAGAACTGATTAGTTTACTCAGATAATATCTAGAGGTACGTGTGTCTAGAAGTGGCGACTTGTAGAGTTATTTGTGTATGTCTTTCGATTATGTGACCGTTTGTTAGTGTGGTTTGGTACTCTCCTTGTTTTTGTTAGGTCTTGAACTGAGCAACGTAACGCTACGGTTACCGGCGAGTGGTCAAAAGCAATAGTATCATTCATATCCATAGAGGACGCGTCACCTCACTTTTATGAGTGAGACGTTGAAATAGTACAAGGTGATGAGGAGTGCGACGACACACATAGACGTAGATTTATTCAGCTCGAAGTTTACAATGGCAAAAACCAATCTTCAAATTAGAAACATATCGCTCAATATTTTCCCTATCGATAATCTACTGACTCTAGATCATCTTTACCTTTTTTCCTACAGGTATACATAGGAAAAATATAATAGTGAGCTTCGCGTAGTGCTCTGGCCACCTTCAAATTAGGAGTTACTTAACCTAGATCAAAAACCAACGTGGAAAAAAGAAATGAGCTTCGGCTCTTCTGCGAAGAAGTATGGAAATTTCGACGGTCGAGTCCGTGCCCTCTTTCTCCGGCTACTGCAGGTGTGTGCGATGTGTTCCTGATCCTATGAGGTCTGTAGCGTGACCTCTGTAGTTGTGGATTGGTTGCCATAACTGACACTTCGTGGTTCACATCTGGTGTGTAAGACCAAGAAGAAACATGCAGATCAAAAGTCTGTCAGTGAGATGCTGTGAGGAAAAACTCTGGACTTTACTTAGCGCACTGCTCATGTTATTGGTACAAATAGAATTTTGATCTGTCTGTTTGAGAGAAGCGCGCTACAAGCGTTGTCAAGAATCTGTGCAAACTGCATTGGGAGAGCGAGAGCCATGCTGTCTGCAGTCTTCTCGGCCAGTTCTGTTATAATTAATGAGTCTTGTGTACTATTCGTATCCTGTGAACCCAAAAAAAAGTGAACAGAAAATCTGTCCCAAACAAAATCTGTACTTGAGAGAAGCTCGTCTTCATATCACCTATTCTTCAGACGAAATTCATCGCCACATTGGCAGCATTAACCGAAAAGCAATGTCTAAGTAAGTTGATGTCATGCATATCAAAATTAATATTAATGTTTAAAGGCCATGCTTTTACAACCCTCCACATGTATCACATGATAATCAGGTTCGGTCTTGGAAAGAAGCAGTCATACTGTTTGAGCATACCCAATATGGGCTGCGGGGGCTTATTGTCGACTAGTGCAGTCGTAGTCATACCTAGCACCGTTTCCCATGTCCTAGCGTAGGACCTTTTGCACAAATATTCCACTTCTAACTAAGGTGCAAGGCCTAAGCTTTTCTCTTCGATGTGCATGTAGTGTTTCCTTGTGCATTATATGGATCATAGTTTTTACCATACACTACCAGAGGACTCTGAGAGCTAGTACTGTAATTTCCACCTACTTGATGTTCGTCCAGAGCTTCTAGAAGTAGTAAAGTTCGAAGGCCACAACTAGCGCTAACTTGAACTTCAAAAAGTAAGATGTTTTCGGCTAGTGCTTTGCAACAGCAACGGGATCATCAGCAAGCGGTTGGTGCTGCAATGTTGCGGCTCGCACTAGAGGTCGTCGAGTTGGTGAATGTCGAGAGCGATGTCGCAGTTGGCACGCGAGTTCATTTCCAGGACACCACGGGTCCCCTGAGTGGCACCGCGGAAGAGTCTGTTACGGAGCATCTGGCCTTACCCGCTGGACCGCATGTTCTCCAGCTTGATCATTTTATTCCCTCGGCACCCTCGACTACGACTGCATCTACATCGAACGTCACGAAAATCGGAGGTTTCGACAATCCCAATCGCTTAGACGAGGACAATCATGGTTTAGTTGACGATGGTTATCTGGAGCAGAAAGCCCTGACGGAATGTAAAGTTGTGGCCTGGATCGTTTTGCGTCCTCCTCAAGTAGATATGGACTGCGTTGTTCCCGTGCCCTTGCGGGATCTAGCTCCGTTTCTTTTGAAAGAGAGAAAAGCGCTGACGCAAGACTCATTGCGTCTACTGCCACTTCCAAGCACTGCGGCGGGTCGTAATGCTAGTTCCAGCAGTCTAGGAGTAGGACTGGGAGGGCTGCGGGAATGGTCGTGCGAGTTGTCGCTAGCATTGCCGGAACCTAGTCCGGTCGTTGAGTACTCAGTCAAGGATTGTGGCCGGCTCTTCAAAAACGCGCACAAAGTTGCAGCAAGGTTTGGCGATACGGCGCCTCTACTTCGGTTGCGTGCAACGCTGGTTGGTAGACATATTAGAGGGGTAGGCCTTTCTGGTGCTAGTCCTAATTCGATGCATACCTCGAACCCAGTAGAAGTAGTTTCTCCGGAGGCAAAATCTTCATTCACGATGTCCAATGCTGTGGGAGGTCTAAATAGCACTGTTGTTAGCCCCAGCAAGCCGCGGCTGCCGGATTCGAGGATTGGTAATCTTGTGTCACTATCCGCACAAGACGATGTGAGCAATGAAATTGCAGCCATCGCAGAAGGCTTACTGGGTGAAGCCCGGGCACCGACCGAGATGCTGGCGTCTTCGTTGAACCAAATGTACCAGCTAGTACAGCGCAGTCTGGCGGAAATCACACGCCTTCAAGACGAACGTGCTATCCTGGAGAAGGTACAGCATACTATAACTATCTATATTATAAACCAAAACTTATTTTGAATGCTAAACAGGAGTGAACTTACGGCTTGAGATGTACGCAAATCATGGCAAAGATGTACGGGTGAGATGTATACGTCTGAGATATATATC